CCATCATCGCCGACAGCTGTCACCTGGCCCTGTGGTTGTTGTCGCATTTGCAGTTTTTAGTTTTCAGTTGTGGCAGTTGTAGTTGTTTGTTGGCGGCAGGGCAGCAAGCGGATGAAATACAAGAGCATTGACAGGGCCAGCATTGGATAGGCATAGAAGTAGAAAGAGAGAGAGAAGGAAATGTGTTTAATGTGTGTGTGTAGGCTATTGCCTACTATATTCCCCATTTTCGCATATATAAATAATATTTCTATGATTGCCCCACCCCGAAACGGCCGACCAACAATGTGAACCCTACATCTCCGATAAGCGAGTAGAACCTTATCCGAAATGCAAACAGTCGAGTGCTGAATCATCATCATCAGGGAAGTCTCTCTATCGAGTGTGTTTATATGCACTGCACTTAGCTTGTTTACGAACAACGTAATCGAAGGCAAGCGCTATGCGTAGTATTCTTTACAAATTCATCAGTTTTCCAGCAGGTTTACAGAACGCAATAGGATAATAATAGAATGAAACTGAGTTCACTTTCTTAAAAAAAAAACATTAACAATGCGAATAGTAAGACAAATGCAAGTCTATGAAAATAAATTAATAAATAGGAAATAGTTTTGGAATCAAGGTAGGTGTCATTGCATGTTAATAACAGCCTATTTTTATCACACCTGAAAGGGGGTTAAGATTCAGAAATCTTTTGTATTGAAAAAGATAAAGTTCAACTCTCCATGTAATATTAAAACACACGATTCATTAATAAATAATTGTAATAATAAAAACTCGGAAGATAAAACGTTTTGTACTATATCAATCTACAATTATGCTGTATATTAAAATAATATTTACAAGTAATTACTCATAGTAATTAAAGTCATGATTTTTAAAAAAATGTGATTAAAAAATACGAAATACCTATTGTTTATAGATGGATAAATACTAAAGCGGAAAAGATGTGTTTTTAAAGTGTTACCAGACTTGGTTTATGAACCTAAAAGTGCGCTCAAAGTCCCGGTAAGGCTGTAATCTGATCAGGAAAATCACTAAACCGCGAATTACGATGGTTAAATCGCCTTATCTTTATAAATCGCAACGTTTAGAAAAAGGGGAAATCATCAAAACAACAAATATGAATGTCCGACGTCAGGCGGCAGTGCAGTAAGCAGCGCAGTCTGCGTCGACTTCGACGTCGGCACCCCCACAACGCAGTGTGCGTGAGTGCGTTGGTGTCTGCGTGTTGGTGTTGGTGTAGTGGCGGCAATGGTGGTGGCGATGATGTCGAGACTCCACTCAAAATGTTGCTGTTTATTTATAGAAATAAAGCTGAAATCCACGAAATTAGAAACTGAGGCAGCTGCTGCCCCAACTCCCTGTCACTTTTTTTACCCTCCTGTTATCTTGAAGAAAAACCTTTTCGTCTTCCGCTTAATTAGCACTAACTCACCTTGTAGTAGGCGCCATTGTCGAGCCGAACTTCCACGAGAAGATCTTCCATGTTGCTGGACGTGGTGCCTCCTGGTTTTTCCGCTTTGTTTTGGTGGTTCTTCGCCGTCCGTCCCTCCTGCTGATGCTGCTGCTGCCCAGCCTTCAACTCTCGACTTTTCCCCGTCGACTGCAGTTTGCCGTGTTATCTAGGGTTCCTGCGGGGATTTACAGATATTAAATGTTCTTAATTTCCATGAGACAATACCCACAATTCAGTGTGCAGGGGCAGAATCCTCGCGTTCCTGCTCTTAATTCCTTGTAATCAAATCAGTCTTTTGCTTTGCGGCTGCTAAATGTTGTCTAAAAAGCAATAACAGAAATGGAATGGATTTGTTTTCTGGATGAATTTTTTTTTTTTGGGGAGGGAAATATATTTTTGACGCACTGGCAATCAAAAAACAAAATTTTGAAGTTATTTTGGGGCCAGAAAATTCCTGGCAGCCAACTGCGGCGCTGGCAGCGACGTCGAAGCCGGCAGCGACTTTGCCGGCAGCGCAGCAGCGTAGTGCTTCCTCTTCTTCTTTGTCTCTTCTTTTGCGTGTGTGTGTGAGTGTCCGCCGCCGCACACACATACCACCTTAATCAAGCGTGTGCGCGCTCTCTCGCGCTCCCTCTCTCTCGCCGCCGAAATGTTTCGCTCTCGTTCGTTCACACCGATGAGCACGCTTTTCCAATAAGAATTTCACGCACACTACGAAACGGCACATGCCGAATTTACATATCGAATTTACACATAATTTCCACATTTACTTCCGTTTTAGCCGTTCTTTTTTCAGAGAAAATCCATCAGCGTTGCGTAGCTTGTATTTTATCGCTTTTCCTCTTTCAGCTGCTCCCTTTTGCTGCTGCGTCGCCGCCGCTGCAGGCAGAGAAGCAGCGTCGCTGCCGCTGTCGACGTCGTCGCCGCCGACGATGTGCAAAATTTTTTCGTTTTTCGTTTTTTTTCGGTTCTTGCTAAATTTTCCCAGCGCTTTTTGCGACTGTAATACACAATTTGCTGCAAAGATAACAAAACTTACGGCTGGCCGGCACTTTTGCACTTCGATTGCGCTCGGCGGATGCCTTTGAATGCGGCTTTAACCTTTGAAAATACAAAATATATCGCGTGCAGTGCTGCTTCAGTTTTTTTCGGCTGCGCTGCGTTCTCTTCGTTTTGCTTTTGCACAGTTTCGCAGCTCGGCAACGTTCTGCTGGAGTTGCCACCCGGATGCAATCGGCGCGCGTTGCTGGCCACTTTAGGTGGGTTTGGTCTTTTGGGCGATGTGACCCAATGCGTTGGACTTACAAAAATGGAAAACAAATTTCTTTATAAATCATTTGCTTAGAAATACGCACGAAATAATGTTTGACAGAAGAGGCAGCGGAGTGGCAACGTTGCCAGGTGACAGCCCGTTCGCCGTTGCCAGAGTGTTGAAACATGGCTGGGTCACAATGGACAGAGCTGCATTTAAGGCGCGCAGGCGGTTACTTTTTAAATATTTGAATGACTGATAAGTGAATTTAAACTATAAATTGAAATTGATGAAATTTTATGGCTGTTCCCGATTGACTGCTCATTTTGTTTGCTGGCTTCTAACCAATAATTGAATTGCTTGCCCATCAGCAGATTGAATCACATGCTTGGCGCTTTTCAATTGATTTGATTCGATTTTAATTTTATGAATCGCTGGCCACAACGATTGCCGTTAATGTAATTGTGCTTGTAATTGCAACGACTATTGGGGTCACCAGTGCGCGCAATTTGTCACATGCGGTGTTTTATTTGCTCTTTCTTTGACCCTTTGATTGCCCGCAATCGCGTGACGTTGCTAGCGCCTTTTGTCAACACGCTTGTTGAATTTGTTTTCTGCCATTCATGAAATGCTCCTGATGGTGAGTGGCCGATAAACTGGTAAAAGTGCAGTGCATTCTATTTATAAACCCATTTTCATCAATTTTCAAAAAATCGGATAGCGGAAATCTGGCAGAGGGTACAAAATGCAGACGAACTTCAGTATTTCTATTATTTATTACTCATATTTTTCACTTAGTGCTAAACACACTATATTTACTTACTCAAAGTACATACATATTCTTTAGTATTTTTAATTTAAGCCGCCACAAAATTACTTAAGTTAAGGTATTTGTATTAAATCAAAAATTACAACTCTATAAAAAGTGCTGTCATTTTGTTATTGTAGCAGTAAAAATGTGGCAATAAATTGCAAAAATTTCATGGCCAGTCCCCAAATGGGAACCATTAAATTAAATCCTTCGTTTCCCTGCACACACGCTTTTCCCATCTTCCAGCCAAAAAGGAGTAGGTAATGCCATTAAAAAGCCGTTAACTTCTCAGCTACAGGGTATCTAGATTCTCAATTCGATAGTAAAAATTTACTGCTTGTGTTGACGGTAATAACTGTCAAGCGGCAATTTGTTGCGGAAATGCATTCTGATTTTCTCTAGGCCAAAATCGCAGCCATCCCGCCCGTCTTTTTATATTTTACCACCCTTACTTGACCCATTTCCCACTCTCTCGGAAAATGAGAGCAGCTGCCGTTTGACATTGACTTTTGTTCCGCCTTTTGGCACATTAACTGCACTTTAATGACGTCGACATGGGCAACAAAAGGCCAAAAACATCCGCGACGACAGCCTCTGCTCGCCTTCTCGCTCGCACCACAGAATTTGTCCCGCTCAATTAGCATTTGTCTCTCCGATCCGAGAATTGCATGTGGGTGCAACAATTGGTCACTTCGGGGGCACTAAATTAATTTTAATTCTAATTTTAACCGAGCGTCAGGCCGTGGCTCGGATCAACTGAAATTTATTTGCCAAAAAGTGACAATCTCGATCTTGACAAATACGTCACTTCCTGCGACGTCCTCTCTACAACCTGCACTGAACAATTTCTAAATACATTTTAGAGAAAGAAGCTCACTTTAGGAATGAATAAAATTGTTTGCGATTTTGCGCAAAATGTGATATTGTATTAAACTTTCAAATAATAAATAAATACGAAAAAAAATGTTATTTAGAAAAGAACTAAGACATTGACATTTAGTAATATGATCTATCACATTTCTATCCCTGAAATTTCTCTCAGTGTGTGATTTCGCGAGTGTGGGTGTGAGAGTCGTGTGCCAGGGCTTGCTCTCCCGCTCTCGCTCAGCTGGCAATTACCGTTCGTTTAGCATTTCTCTGCCTGCTTATCAATTAATCAGCTTCTAAGCGCAGCTCGGCAATTGCAATTTTCACCTTCGGCTCGTAGGCGGTTTAATTTTGTTGTCTTTTTTTTTGGTTGGTCCTCCCTATCTGTCAATTTTCGGTTGACAATTTCTTTCGAGCGGGAAACCTGAAAGCAGAAAACCGAAAACCCACGAAAAGATAAATAAAGAGCACATAAACCTGACTATAACGTTCCCATAATTCAGTGTTGCTGGCTTCAATTGTGTGAGTGCAGTGCCGTTCGTTTGTGGGTGTGTTTTTGCGGCTGTGTGCGTGTGCACATTGCCCGATGCTCGTACCGCTTTTCAGTAATCATTCTGTGCCTGACCGCCGCGGGTTCCGTTCTTGGCCCGCCCGAGGTTCCGTTATAAAAGACGCGTGCTGCTCCAAAACCGATGGAGTTCGATTCGAGACCGCAAAGGTTCTGTGTCCTGCCTGGCAGCCTCTAAAAAATAAAATAGAAAATAAAGTTTACAGTGGCCTCTCCAAGTGATATAACCGAAACACAAGTGTTTTCAAATAATATTTTTGACGAAAGTAAAAAAATAAGAACCGTACAATGCATTTTATCACCCTCTTCATGATAGGTAAATTATTAAAATCAAATATTGCATATCACCTGTGACTCATTGAAAGCCAATCAAAGTTATTTAATTACTCGAGTGAGAGATTCCCACTCCAAAAACTGACTCAAATTGGAGAAGCCAATAATTGGATTCTTGTACTTATCGCAATTGTGCTTATCCAATATCCCCATATGTATACTGCCGATAGTACTGAGAAGGCACGTCTTGGTTGCGGATTCCACATTGTAATTGTTTGCTATTTATTTTGCAATTATTCGGATCGTTTTAGTGGATAAGATGGCATAGACAATGTAGTAATGATAATACGTATGGGATTGTAAATTACAATTCGGCCTTTTGCGCTTATGATTTACAATGGACAGGTTCTCAGACCCGGGGATGTGATGACTGCCATCGGAAGTGTACGGATAGGCTTGAGTACTTATCCAGATAAATGCAGATCTGGGTTTTGAATTTAAATTCGGGGCACGAGCGGTGAAATTTGTCAATTGGCTTCATCCTGTGAAAGATTCGCTAATAGATAATCATAAAAAATCTTGTTATTGTTCTTTATTTAAGACCATAAAATTTGCAATTAAGAAACCTCAGGATGAGTAGCTTTAGCGGGATGTTTTTCTTCTTGAAACTAGGGGATTTTCGCCATGGCTAATTAAGAAACCCCAACACATTTTTTTGGGGCATATCTAAAATCTAAGCTCACGCCGTCACATCAGTACTTCAAAAGCACTTCAAAGAACTTTGGTCATGGATCACGCGCCCGAACAGATATCTGAAGAAGAGACAACCTATCGCCGCCTTGTTTGACTTTGTGGGGCATTTGGAAAATACCCACTTAATTCGCCTAATACAGATACAGATACAGACGACTCATCATTGCGGGCAGACTGAGTGATAAGGTCAGCAGAAGCTAAGTATTTGGTCATTTTGGGCAGCCGACTTATGGGTGGGAAAACTGCTGACCTAATCGGGATAATCGAAAGTAATTTATGAGCCCGAGATGGTGCTTAAGAAAAATCACCGATAAGATGCCAACTGATAAGGGAGTTTCCAAAAAGGGTACGGGGGAAATGCATATTAAACGATTAATTGGCAATTAACTCGACTGGGTTTATGGATCCCTGCGAGATTCGATTAAGCTTAATCGACCCAATAAACGTCAATCGCAAGGCGTTATTTCTTATCGGGTTTGCTTACTTGTCAGTTAGCTACTCCCCGATTAGCTGCGATTTGTGGCTGAGAAATATGGCTAAAATAAAAACAGGTGATTAAAATTGTATACAAGTTATAGTAAGACTAATCCGCTAAAAAAAACTTTTGTGTGTTTAAGCTTCGGGAGGTTTAACCAAATTTCGAGTGGGGAAAATGTTTTAACCGCAATCAGACAAGGTATTTTAGCAAATGTGAATTATTTATGTCCAAGATAAGACACCAGCCAATATACAGATAGTGTTTTTGTTAAAGGCTTTGCTCTTAGAAATCAATTATCAACATCCGATTAGACTGTCGTAATAAATAATTTTGGATTTAATGTTGACTTTTTGTTAACAATGTAGCACTTAACACTTTTTCTTCAAAGAATAGGAAACTAAATTTTCTACACTCCAGCTGTGGCTAAACTTGTTAATTAATTCACCAAATTTATATTGAATTCCCTAATGACGCAGCATTCAGAAAACAGTTGTTGGTGGGTTTTTTATTCAAGCAACTCAAAATAAAAAAAAAACTTAACGTGAGTCAAATTTAACTTAATGCAGATTATTTTATTTACTAGAAATTGAATATGTTCGGGTTTTTGAATCATTATTTTTGCGCTAGCAATTTCCTGTTCATTTATGTAAAAGGAAATTTACTTAAAGACCATGACACATGCCAATTTTTTTTGGTTCCATATTTTATTCCTAATGGTTTTTGTGTTTTCAATTTTTATAATGTTTTAGTGTAGTTGATAGTTTGTTTAACACGTATTAAACTAGCTCGCTGATTCTGATAGAGCGGAGTTCCAAATGATTGATCTTTATCAGATATAGCTGTTATAGGCATCATTGGATAAAACACACCCTCTTTGTAAAGCATGCATTCATCGCCAAAGCACTTGATGCACTAGAGCGTTGACTGCGCTACATCTATTTGTATTTGTTTTGGTCTGCCTTTGTCGAGCGAAAGTGAAATTGCAATCCACGGTTCACTTTACTGATAGCCAATACTTCCTATTTATATATAGAGTCATCTGCCGCGAGTTGACTTCTGTTTACAAAGACCTTCTGCTATCTATTTGCCCGCTTTGCCACTATCTTCTCGGCTTGTTTTCCACTCGTTTATCAACATCCATTCGGGCTCTTCCGGCATTGCACTGCGAATCCAAAGTCTATTTAGTCGATTGGCTTATGATGGAAAGTTTTTTAGCCTACTTCTCCAATCGATTTTCAATGCAACTAGACTTTAAAGCACTCTCATCAAAGGTTTATGGTAACCATATCCCAGACAAACGTCACAATGTTAAGGCATTTCATAATAAACCAAAGGCTGGGTATTTATCTGACTATGCCAACTGAGAAAATTATGTTCCCGTTCAGCAGATTAGATTAACTATGGAGCGGGCTCGCACCACCAAACGTTTTTCACATATAGAAATCAAATTTATTTTATATTTCTTTAAAATAATAAACTTTATCTTGGTCTTTTTAAACGGAAGTTTGTTCAATAGTAAAATACTCATTGTCTTTTTGTTTATTTTATAGTCCTTTCACCCTTTTAAATTAGCCTTTATCTTGAAATATTATTTATTGCATATTTATTAAGACAACTGATTACTTCAATTAATTTTAATGGTTTCATTCACATGACCAGCGGTGTATTTATTGGACTTTGTAGCTTATCATAGGCTTTACACGCCCCCCATATTAAGACAATGGGGCATTAAATCGCGTGCACTCCCGAAATCGTTTATCGGTGGGAGATATCTTTGATTATGGCGCTCAGTAAAATGTAAATAAAGTTCGGTCTGGAAAATCACTGAGTGCCCTATATATTTGGGGGATCTCGATACCGCAGTGATTTGACAAAAAAAAAAAAAAACGAAGAAACCCAAACGACAGACGGGGTCTTTATCGCAGCTGCTTAGCCAGCGAAATCGTTTCGATTCTTTTCTGCTGACTCGGCCGAAATGATTTTAATAAACAGCAGTTGAGACAAGTCGCTTCAATGCCAGAACATTTTGATTCTCAAGAGCAGGAGAATATTGAAATATTTTCACTTGACGACTTCATGGGTTGAGTGCATTTTCCACTTTCAATTGCAGCTGTTTATTTTGTGCGATTTTTCACATGATTATCCCACATCTCCCATTGGCATTGCCCGTTTGCAATTACAGTTTTGTTAACTTTTACACCCCGGGGGCGGTAAATTACAGAACATTTCCCATTATCAGCTATCAAAGCTTTAGACACTCAAATTTAATTGACCAAGCTTTGCATGTGCAAATTTAATTGCCCTTTAAATAGTTGCCCGACATTCGTTGCATGTCCGGTGAAAACGTTTTCAAAATTGCAAGGGTTCGAGATCAAATTATTCCTTTTCAATTGGCATCTGACGGATATTTCATTGGCCATTCAGATGTAATGCACAAGCCACTCACGTTTAAACCATTAAGTCTTGTGATCGTTTATCGTTAATCGTTTCCTAATCAAAAGGAATATTTTTATGACTCTTGATACGGCACTAATTCAATACAATTTCACTATTAATTCAAATAGAATCCCCGGATAAGTACTCTCTGCTTGCCTGGTAAATTATAAGAAACCATTAAAAAATGAAAAATTATTATTAATCTTTCCCTCCGAATCAGTGCGTCACAGAGCAACCCAAGACTATATTATGGAAACCTCAGCTGATGTGCACGTTGCCCGCCAAAAAGTATATTATATCGATCATATATTTATACTTGGGTATATTTAGTACTCTACTTTCACAGCTGCGCTCGTCATTTGTCTTTTTGCAAACCAACTTGCAAAAATGCCAAGAGGCAAGCATAAATACTCGAAAGATTAAAGACAGAACATAAATTATCACACTTGTTTGCGGACTTTTTTATTAACCCATTAATGTTGAATATGGCTTAATAAACACGATCATTTGATCACAGAACACCCCAGTGACGAGTTATGTTGATGGGTCAGTGGTTTTTAAATACCAAAATTGATCGTAAAAACTAAAAAGCCGCACGCATTAAATTTAGTTGATATTTTGATGTGCAGATGTCAAAATGCTTTTAACACAGCTGGATGATGAGGAGAAAGCCACAATATGTGGACAATTTGCAGGTTAATGAAACATTTATGTATGCCTGCAAATACGCTGGTACTTATATACAAATATATGTGCTTGAAGTCATAAATTTCATAGGTATTTTTAGCCGAGCCAAGCCAAGTGCAAGGTGCCGTGATTTTGGTTGAGGCTGCCAAACATGTGTAGATTGACCCTCTGTCAGTATTTATCCCATTGCTTTTATGGCCCATCGTCAAGTGCAGTTTTTAATGGTCTTGTTTTTGGGTGGCCGTGGCCCTCATGCATTCTGTGCGCAGTCGGTCAAGTTGAAGTTTATTTAAATCGTTACCCATTTTGCGGTCCCACACGGCGTATACTTAATACTTATCTGTCACCCGTTCTTTCGTTTTCAGTCTGCTGCTCAGTGGCCCTCAGCCGGGCCAACGAATGGGGCTATCCGGACTTGGATAGCAATCAGGATGAGCGTAAGTAAAGCCAATCGAGTTTATTTGCTAAAATTAGTTAATCAACGCCACGGCGAGTGGGTCACTCTGCTCTGGCTGGCTCTGGTTCTGGCTCATTGTCAAGTGTTTTGCATACCGAGCTATCCAAATGTGCTCGGATACATCTACATATCTGTGCACACTGTACATGCTCCGGACTTGAGCTTAGTTAAATTGGGCCAAATTGTTGTGTATGCAAATTGAACATGAATAATGATAAATTTGGACTGCTACTTGGGCAATTCTGCGAAAATTTAACTTCTGCCTCGAGTTATTTATTGACAAAACAGCGTTCAATTATTTAAAGTTTGATTTATGAGCATTTAATTTTAAATACAATTTTTGCTTGTGCAAAAAATAATGAAAATCAATTAAACAAATAGTAGACTAGACTTTAATATTACACTATTTATTGAGAAAACAAGCGTTCAATTATACTAAGTTTGATTTATGAGATTTTAATTAAAAATTCTTTAATCGACTTGTGCAGAATTTTAAAATAATGAAAATCAATTAAACAAAAATCGACTTGAAAAAGAATAGTTTTGAGATAAAAATTTAGTATTTGACTTTGATGGATGATCTTTTCATTTCCCACAGCCTTTCCAAAATGGGGCGGTCTTTGCGATAATGGCAGGAAGCAAAGCCCCATCAATCTGCATGTCAAAGGGGCTCTGAAGGGGGAGTTTGGTCCTCTGAAGTTCGAGAACTACGATGAGCATCAGAAAAATCTACGAATGGTCAACAATGGGCATTCAAGTGAGTTTTTTCGATTGGAAATAATCCATAAATGTGAAACAATCCAATAAGTAATTACATTTGTGGTACAGTTCAACTATCTGGCTTCGATCACGAATTGACATTGAGTGGAGGTGCCCTGCTGCATGACTACGTGGTGGAGCAGATCCATATGCATTGGTGGTCGGAGCACACGATCAACGACATCCGCTATCCTCTGGAGGTGCACATTGTGCATAGGAACACCATTTACCCCAACATGACAATGGCGGCCAACTTTAAGGATGGCATTGTGGTCATTGGAGTGCTGTACCATGTGTCCAACACACCCAACGAGGCCATCGGCAGCATCATCAAGAGCTTGGACGCTGTGAAAAGCTATGGGAGCATGAACAAGCCTGCCCTGGTGGCAGACTCCCTGGCGGTGGACGACCTGGTGCCCAGTGTGGCGAACTACTTCACCTACGCTGGCTCCCTGACCACGCCCACCTGTGCCGAGGCCGTCACCTGGATTGTGCTCACCAATACCTTCCCGGTGACCCTGGATCAGGTCAACGAGTTCAAGGAGATCGAGTACGAGGAGGGCAAGCGGCTGCACAACAACTACCGGGAGCTGCAGAGCGAGAACAATCGAGCGGTAGTCCTGGTCGAGCAGCCCGAGGATCGTTCGGGGGCGGCAGGAGTCACTGCATCCGTGTCCCTGGTCATGATGCTCATCCTGGCGGGCCAGAAGTTCCTGCTATAGATGCAGATGTAAAGTCGATATGGACACACACACCCCGAAGAGAGAGCAGCCAATGACATACTTGTACCAAAGAATCGTTATAAACAACGAAATTTGTTTACCAATTATATTATTAACAATCCAACAATCGGCGACACAGGAGAGCAACGTCAGATCAGACAATTTATACTCATTAATTGTAATGCAGGACAGAACAAGATTTCAGCTAGTCAGTTTGTGTAAAGTTCGTTAAGTGCAAAGTTCACAGATAATAAATGAAACATTTTACAAGCATATTCGTTGGCTTTCTGGGTAAACGGGGCACATGCGCAACTTAAAAGTGATCGCCTAATTTCGTTTAAAGTTCACACTGACCAATATCGGTTTATGGCGAGATCCAAAATTAGATGGTGAACCATTCTTCTGCATATTTTAGCACAATACCCCAGCTGGAATAAACACTTTTATGGCCCTTGGTCAGTGTGATTCCTTGGAGGGGTCATAAAGCGGAATAAAGTATTTATAGCCAAATAGTATTCAGAAATCACTGATAACTGCCAGCGTCAACTGACCAATTGGACGGCCTGATAAAGCTAATTGATATTGGATGGACTCTAAATTAATCAACTACAATAACAGCGGACCATGCAATTTGATTTCGCTTATTGCTGGACACACTTAATCATCGTTCTTCGTTGCCAAATGGCACTCACTGCGATTGAAGCGTGTGTCCGGCGGTTTATTGATGACACAGCTAATTTTACCCACAAGCTCAACTATATCTTATCTGTGGCAGATACCTGCAAAAGTAGTCCCCAAATAACAGTCTTCAATAATAATAAAAGGCAAAAAAGTCGATTGTTAACTTAAAATACAATTAAAGCCTAACCGTTAAGCTAGTAGCTGTATAGCCGACGATTTTTTGATAACCAGTTTAGGGACATTAACTTACCCGTATGGCTTATACAAATGGCAAACCACTTTTGATTTTAAACCAATTTTTAAAGAGTTTTTTCAATAAATTTTCAGATTTATTTGTAAATAGGCGAAAAGGCATTTGTTTAAATTTTATAAATGCCTGATAAAGCAAAAACATTGCATACTTTTAAGAGATTACAATATAAAATTTAACTTTTGTATCAAATTTATTAGTCTAGTTTAAGGCTTATTGATATGTAAATTTTTTTTTAGAAAATTTATAAGTATTCAGAGTTGTTTTTAAAATCCTATTAAAGATGTAAGAAACTTGTTAGAAAAATTCTTCTAAGGCACAGAATGAATAATGTTAATGCATTTTTTAAACAACACTTTATATTTTTGTATATATTTAACAGTGTACATTTATAAAGCTTTTTTGTATTTGAGGAACAATAAACACTATTGACTACTAAGCTACTAGACCATAACAAACTAATAAAGCTCAATTTCCAGCATTGTCGCTGGCTTCCTTCTCCAGTTGAGAACCATTTTGAATACCTTGTGATATGGAAATGTTCTTCGATAAAAGGGCGTATTCCACATCCATATGTCTGATAAATGGGGATGCCAGCATCATGGCAGCTAGTTCGTGGTCCTTATCATCAACAGCTTTTAATAGTTTTTCCAATGTTGTCACTTCTTGTTTCTCACAACGATTTCCCCATTTTTTGAATGTCTTTTTGGCATCTACGAAATCATCGTATGCTAATTGCACCAGCACCAAGGCCACGACTAACCGACCAACTTGTCCGTACGATTTTGTCTGTAAATTAAGGCCTATTTCCTTTTTGAGAGCTTTGCTGGCTTCCTCGAATCTCTTAAGTTTCACCAATATTCTCGAGACTTTCGATGCGAATTCAGACGCTTGATGGGTGGAGTCCCCATTCAAAACGACGGCCAGAGCCCGCTTGTAGAACTGCAATGCCAATTCGGGATGTTTGGATTCCGTCATTTTGGCGGCTTTGTCCAGTGCTGCGGCAGCTGCTTCCGGTGAACCGTGTTGCTGGTAGAGACTGCAAGCCTTATTGGCATACACCTCCACTTCCGATAGAGTACCTGTTTCTTTGGCTAGCAAAATAATCTGCTCGTACGATTTGGCAGCGTGGAACCACGACTTATTGTTCTCGTAACAGTCGATGGCCTTCAAAAAACAATCCTTGCTCTCATCCGATCTTTTGGCAATTCGATATGCAGTTGCAGCCTTGTAATATATACCAGCTTTGGCATACTCGTCCGGGGCACTATCGACCTGCCCCATTAAAGCCTCAGCTTCGGCTATTTTTTTGGCATCAAGAGCCCCCATATTCTTTAACTTTCTGACTTGCCTAGTAGGAAAAATCAATTGCTTACATTCAAATTAGTGTGCCCGAATGCGCAAGTGCAGATAAAACGCAAGTGGCCGCTCCTTATGCGGATATGACACCGCGTTATTGCTGTTAGAGTAAAGCAAATTTATAAGACTATCGACAAAAATTACCTTGTTGCGGTAAATCTCTGTTTAAAAATAAAAAAAAAATGTTTTTCGACCCCAAAAAAGGCCTGCAAACATTTTAAAGTCAGCCGATTGAAGTTTTGTATGTTTTATTAAACTATTTTAAGGATCTGCAACAGATTTAATCTATCCGGCTCCGCTTTTTATTTATTTTTTGCGCTTGCGTATAAATACCAGAACAAATAAAAGAAATGTGTAATTTTTACAAAAATCGAACACGATTTATATTTGTTACTCCTTGTTTTGCGTCCCTGGGCTTAAAAGATATCGATAGAAACGTGCTTTGTCATTCTACAATCGTGCTTCAAGAGAATGTGCGCTGAAAATATTGGAGAAAATTTATAAAAACGTGACATCAGCGTTTTAGTAAACCAAACTCTTAGCCTGCGAACCTCCTCGTTCCCACATCGCTTAATCGCAGATTTTTGGAATTCGATCCCAAAGAAAGTAAATCGCTTAAACTACAATCCGTAAGACTTGCGGTTTATACAATTAATGCTATTAAACTTTTTCACAGTTGAAATCAAAGACTTCTGGAGTATTGATAATAATCTGAGAGCCATGAAAATCTGGAGAGATGCAGGACTTACTTACATCCATTATTCCAACATTGCTGCCCGAGTGGTACGCGAATCCCTCCGAGCGGAACTACGTGCAGATGCTGCTAAGAGAGACATAAGCCATGTGACGTTCACTCCTTGGGTCAACGGAAAGCCAAAGCCCCGTAAGAAGGAAGGATCCAAGTCTTAGATGCTCTTGTGGTCCATCAAACATCTGTATATGCTGTCATGGTTCTATAAAACCAAAACTGCAAATATTCCAATAAATTGTGGAAGATCTTACATCGGTTGTTTTGTCTTCTGTAGGATGTTGGTTTCAAAACAACACTTTATGCCTTTTATCATTTGTAGAAAAAGGATCGCAGACCATTAAACGACTTTAATCGTTAATTTAGAATGGTTAGGTTAATTTTGAATGGGAAATAACTACCTACAAATGTTTAAATTAGCAACACAACTAGTGACTTTAATATACAACACAGTTCTGTATTTAAATACGATTTAAATAATAATATACACAACAGGAGCATACATTCTACACACGCGTATTAAATACATAGATTGTGACTGCTTAATTAAGACTAAGGCACTAAATAAGAGAATCTAAGGGTGAGAGAACAGTCAGTACTGGAGCACCAGCCAAGGGAGCAGGAAGGCGCATAAAGACCAGGTTATGGCATTTGCCCCACTTCTCAGATTGGTGTAGCTGTCGACGATGTGTATCTTCCAGCCCATATTCCCGTGGGTAAAGGAGTTGTAGTACACGGTATCGGGCCAGGTGATATTCGGCGTGATTTCCAACAAAGCCGGTGCCTCGTCCACACATTCGGTGATCAGTGATCGATTGAACTTCTTAAAAGTGGGAAAGTTATCGTCCAGCCTGCGATCATAGTTGGCAGGATATCTGGAGAGGCACAAAGGCCCAGCAGCCGTGGGCTTGGGTCTGCCTCTTCTGGTAAACTCCACTCCAGCCAATACACGAATCTCACTCTGTTTGGCATCCGATAAGCGATCGTAGCCTCCCTGAGGATCATCGGTAATAACCAGCGGATGGTAGTGCTCCGGCGAGTGCGGATTATTACCACCCCTCACCTTGAAGGTGTAGGTCAGACCGCGCTTCAGGTAAAGTTCGGGGATCATATAGCCATTTATGTACCAAGACAAGCCGCTGGACACATGACCTGTCAATCCCTGATAGCCACGAAGTCCTCCTGAGGGTCCCAAATACGCGTTAAAAGTGCGTACCGTTCTGTAAGTAATTATTGATAATAATATTTCTATGAAACTATAAAAAGATCTTATTCTTACGCATCTGTTATCCTGGTTCGCTCCCACAATTGAGGAGGGGACGTCTCCATACGTTTGGTAAAGTCAAAGCAATCGTTCACTGGTTCCGTAGTGTTAAAATCTATGACTATGTCACTCTTGGGATAGTACGTGTGAAAGGCGGGTTCGTTGTTTGAATCCAGCTGGCCAAAAGCCCACACCACGTAGTTGCTGCGGTCCAGAAAGATTTCCTTATCGCCATCGTCGGCTAAAAAATTCAAATGATTAATAAACACTTAATTTAACTAGCTTTTCTACTCACATGACTTGAGGGTCCGTCTGAAACTGATCGTGTTGATACCCTCCTTGCGACTGTACGTGTTCAACTGAAAGCTGTCCAATCCACCGACCACATCGTCACGGCACACTCCTTTGTTCTGGCCCAAAACCTGAACGCAGGGCGCCAGCGAAGTGATATTGTAATCCACGGTGTAGCCCCTGATCGCGTCGATATAGGCCACCACCACATCGGAGCCAATCATCTGGCTGGACACATCGGATCCCGATATGCCGAAGGACATGTAATCGTTGGCAGCCACCTGTCCGGAGAGTTGGAACGTAATTTGTGGCCCAAACACCTCCCAGGACACCTGCAAATCCTTGTGCAGCTGCCGGCAATTTGGCAGCGAGAACTCGTATTTTGTTACTTTCACCAGCGAGGGTGGAACATTGAGTCCATCGTTGATCAGCACATGACCGTAGTTCTCATTATCGGCTACATCATAAATACTGATCCAGTCAATGTCGAAGATTGTCTTGTCACCTGGCAGTTCCAATTCAACCGTCTCCTTGTTATATTTCCTGATTGGATCCAGGCTAAAAAATGGTAAGTAAAATTAAAGTATTTATCAACTCACTGGTATATCTTAAAAAAACACTTACTATCCCCGCTCATCCGGCAGTTTGCTTCCACGACTCGAAGGCTGTGCCCCCACGCCCGCCCAGAAGAAAGTGCGCTTGCCACGTCCATCGTAGGTAAAGTCCTTGATGCGAATGGTTTTCGAGTCCAGGATCTCAATGCTACTGCTGCTCACATTGTGGCTGCGCTTTGAGAAGGTTCCGCCCAGCTGAGGCATTGGTGGCTCAAACTCCTCGGGAATATAAACATCCCCAAAGTTGTTCTGACTGCTCAGATCGTAGACCGCCAGCCATTTGATTTCTGTTATCTTCTTTCGGTCCGGCAGTGTTAGTGTGAAGTCCTTGTTGTGATAGCGATCCAGGATATTGGTTCTACGGTAGAAATTTTGTATTAAAATATTCTTTATACCTTCAACCAGTTTGTTTAAATATTTTAAATAAGTTTAAAATTTCAAAAACAAACAAATATATATTTTCTAGTAACCAAGGAAACTCACTTGCCATGTTCATCGGGCACAATAAAGCCCTGCGGTCCAGGGCGATTGCTGGCGCCCGACCAAAAGAACGTATCCGCCCCGTTGCCGTCGTAGTTGAATTCCACGATTAGGAAGGTATACTCATTTACGGCGTACACATCGCCAGACACCTGATGATGGTAGGAGTTGAGTTTTCCCAGATATTTTCCCCGATACGGACCATCTTCCTCTTCGCCCTCGGCCACTAATTGATTAAGAATTGGTTAAGAAAACTCATTGCCCGGCAAAAAGAAAACAAATCGCAAACGAAAGACCGTGACAACAAACTCATTTTGATTTTTCGCTCTGACTAATAACCAAACAATTTGGCTTCTGATTTACTGCCACTGGGCCAGGTGGCGCCCCCTAGCGGGAACTGAGAGAGACAGAGCCAAGACTAGACCAGTTTCTCTAGTTTTACACGAAAGTGAATTTGTTTTCGCCTTGTCCCGTCTCGAGCGTAACGCCAATCAAAATTTCTCTTTCTTTTGCAGTTTGCTTTGCTTTTTTCTTGTTATTGTGCAGTTTGCAATTTAGTTAGTTTATAAACTTACGGGCGGCGCGGAAAAGCAGGAAAAGCGTTACAACAACCAGCAATAATTGCCGCTGCAATCGCAGACAAAGAACATTGCTGCGGCCTTTGTTGCCCGAAGTCATTTTGTTTTCCTTTTTTTTTGCTGGCGCGGACTCGTTCGCTTCTTCTCCCAACTTCCTAAGCCACGTATAATTTTTTTAAATAATCTGAATGAATTTTTTGATTGACTCCTATTCACTTCGCAGCATTTTGCACTTTGGGTTTTTTCCTGGGCTCGCTGCGTCACAAAATTTCTTTGGTTTCCAAATGTATATGTAAAACACTATTATAAGAGAGCCAAGTAATTTATTTTTAATTTTTTCTTTAGCTTAAGGTCGTTTCGTCACTTGCATGCGTTTTCGCTGCTATTGTTGTTGTGATCACTTGGCCAAAACAGGTTTAGGCCGCAGTTCCGGCGTTTTATATATTTTTTACTTTTTCCAAAGATCTCTCGCCATGAAGCCGAAGTCGAAAACGAACCGCACTGTTCAACCGCTCACCGCGATCTGAGACTTTAAGCCGCCGTTATTTCGGGTTGGGTTTCTTTCGGAGTTCCTGTTGGTCATGTTAAGTGAGCACTGCTCTCTCTCTCTCTATCTCTCTTTGGCAGTGCGCATGCGTGCCTGGCATTGAAATGGCCAAGAGTGCCCATAACGGTACTGCTGCATTTTAAAAATGCGAGGTGTGCTTTAGAAGTTTAAATAGAACAACAATTTTTTTTTTCAACTTCATATATGTGGAAGCTAATTTGTTTTCCAGAATTTGTATGTCTTATAATTGTTATTATAATATAGAATTTAATATCATCTTATGTGTTTTAATGTTGTTTTTATACTTGCCTTGAAGGAGGTTGCCTTTTGTTTTAGGTGTTTACCAAAAATTCCTTGACTTCGAGCCGTTAAACATTAGAATCATTAATAGAAAGACCACCAAATAAAATAAGTCAAAAATTTGATATGGCTTATAAGCTCTTTAAACACACACCGCAAATATTTGTAAACAGAAATTATAAATTTGAATTAAAAAAAATTTAAACTTGATTTACCCAAAATATAAAATTGAAACTTTTTTATTTAAGCAAAATACCTTTTTAAAAAAATTATAATTTCTTCCCCAGTTCTTCCCTACTAAAACACGTGTGAATTATTTTTCTTAATTTTCTTGCTTGCAAAACTAAACTTTATCCTTAAGTTTGCTTTTATTAGATCTTTGTTTTGAATAGCAATTCAATTATTGTTTTTAAAACTAATCAATTGCAATTTTTTCCTGCTTGCATTTCTAATCTTCTGCTTTTTATTTTATTTCATTTAATGAATAATGTTTTACGTTTTAAGTTCTCTCTTTTGTGGTTGCGATTTTATTTACAAAAAGGCATGTCAAAGATTAATGAATAAAGATGTGCGTTGCAAACCAAATGTAGTAATCGAAAGTGTGTAACTTGCAACCAAAATTATTGTTTCGAAAGTTTGAAAAAATTGTATACGATTTTCACTCAAGATTTAAGCCAAGTTTTCTGAATTCTTAGTTACTAAACAATTTAGGTTATCTTCTATATATGCTTTCCCGCTGCAATCTTCATTTTTGTATAACTAGTTTATTGAAAATACAATATTATTAATATTATTCTCATAAGAAGCACAATTTATGTTGTTTAAGTTTTTATTTCATCATTTTATGCGTTTACATTTCAGTATTTTGAACTTGCTGCCGTACATTTTTCAGAGTTTTTTCGTTTAACATTTTTCGCGCATCGTTTATTTATTTACTTTTACTTTCATTATTGGTTTTTTTTAATATATTTTTTTGTTTGTTAACACTAGACACTAGATAACCTATAAAAATGGTTCAGTTTTGTTTATAGTTCTTTATGGAAAACATGACAATGGATAAAAGAAACTTTACAAAACAATAAAGAGGCTGGAAAAGTCGTTGACCGATGAAAAGGGGGGCGGGGCCAAGGGGCAGGCAGACTATATGTGAGAATTGGTCTTGGACGCACGCACGCATAGTTGAACTAAAAGTAGCAATACTTAGCTTAAATGTAGCGTATAAAAATAGTGTTGTTTTCTTTTTGTTTTTTTTTTCTCATTTTAGATAGATATTAAATTAAACGAATTGAGAACACTAAATTGTATTTTAACTTAGGCTGCGTTTTTATGTATATATATGAATCTTTTTAACTGCAATGCATACGTTATCAATGCATTTATTTCATTCTTCTTCCGCGTCTGCCTCTTCTTTGACTTCTGCTTTCTGGTCTAGCATTGGATTCTTAGTGAATTAAAGTGTTTAAATGAGCATTTTGAATTGGTTAGACTGAGATAATTCCAACTGTTCGATTGCTGACATTGGTGAGATTTAAAATGAGACATAATCGATCGATAAGCTCCGCAGTTTATCGTCTCCTTTTGCATGGAATGAACGTTGTCAAACAAATAAACAATCGGAAATTCATGTTTAGTCTAGTATAAAGAAGAGCAAACAGGGCGCATAGTTCGTAAACTTAACAAGCGAACAGAAAACATATTACAATATGCATTTTATGATTTTTTATAAGTTGTATATTATTATCTTTTATTACAAATACTTCGGCGCTGGCGCTAATTATACAAAATTTTCGGGAAAATCAACCGTTATTATTAAATGTTACTCTTATTGTGATTTTTTTTTTCGAATTGCGCTACAAGAAATCAACTTTACGCTTTACTATTTATAAATGTTTATGTATAAAAATTTGTTTCTTTCTCTTAAGTTTCTGGTTTTGTTTCTCGTTATACGCCTTTAGCGCAAAAATACATTACAAAGCTTTTACTATGGCATTATGTATGATGTAGGATTTTTGTTGAATTTGGTTTTTGGGAGGCGGGAAGGGAAAAATAGGGTGTGGATGGATGGTGGTCTGAGGTAATGGTGTTAGGCAAACAATCGAATTGCGAGTGAAATTTGAAAACGCTTCTGAAACAAACCGATTGAATTAACAATAGAATGAGGCGTGTTCGTAGTTGTTGGTGTTTCTGTAGTTAAAGTTGCTGTGATTGTGGCGTATGGTGTGGTTCTTGTGAAGAGTGTTGGCTAAAATTTATCCTGAAATATGAATAGGTTATTGGTCGCAGCCACGGCGATGATATTTTCTTCCGGGTGCCAGGCGGTGTGCAGGATCTTCTTGTTAAAGTCGAGGCAGTCCACGCTTATCTCGTCCTTCTTCCGTTTGCCTCCAGTGCAAACTTTCCGTGGCTTCAGCACCGTCTTCGGCTTAATGATATCCCTGGACGCCTCCAGCGTCACATCCTTTTTCGAATTGCGGTCGAACACGCGGAAGAAGTTGTTGTAGCTCCCGGTCATTATTGAGCTGTCCTTGCCGTTCCAACAGCACTCAAACTTGTCGAAGATACAATCGTTCTCATACAGGGAGCACAGCTTGGCGCGCAGGTATTCATGGACCTATAGATCAAAAGTTTTACATTAGTATGGATTGAAAGTGGATGCGTTCTGTTGTGTTTCAAAATTTAAAACTTTGTGAAGTCAAGGATTTAGTGGTCTATTTTCAATAGCTTGTGACTCGATAAAAATTTAGAAACAAACCAGATTTTTAAGCACTAACCGGATAGGTCTCAATGGGCTTAGTTTCCATGTGCAGATCCCACACTTTGATGCTCAAGTAATCCCTGGAGATCATGTAGCGACCCGAGTTGCTCAGCTTCACATCGCTGATGGAGCTGATTATTTCGCTAAAGAAGCTGCGATTCGTTGGGTTCTCGGGCTCCTCGAACTGTTTGCTGTGCCGGTCGCATAGCGCCGCCGATCGCATATCACATAATCGTATTGTGCCCTTGGAGCTCGAGTACACGAACACATTGCACTCGGTCGGATGGAATTCGGCCGCCGTGATCACCTCCGTTAGCTCCTCCATGTTGGTTGGTTTGATGTCGACGATGTTGTAGCTCTGGTTAACCACCTCCAAGTGCCATAGATTGATGCGCAGGTCGTCGGCCGACAAGAAGGTTTCCTGATCCGAATTAACGCTAATTGAATTGATGTGATAGGTGTGTGCATTGGCGAAGGTGCGCCGTGGAGAGGCCTCCACCAGCAGCGGTATTTGCTTTACGGATGGGACCCGCAGGGCCGTCACGTTCTGTGGATCGCGGATCAGGCCGTTCTCCTCCTTCGTGTTGTAGCCCTCGAACGACTTGTCGCGCTCACTGACCTTCCACAACTTGACCGTCTTATCGTTGGTCGAGAGCAGAAAGTGCACGGGGTTCTTCTGTTGCAGCCACCGAATCTTGTTGATCTTCTCCTCAATCTCCAGCGACTTGAGGTAATCGAATTCGGGCTCGTGCGATTGGAATGTCGAATAGACATTGTATTCGCCGCGTCGCGGATTGGCGGCTTTCGAGGCAGGGTCACGCTGAAATAGTTTTATATGTTTAATAACGTGAAGGATGGGAGAAATTCAATTTCAGGCATTTTTAAAGGCCTTTGCTCACCTGAAAGATGACGACGCGACCGCCCTTGTCACCAGTGGCCAGCAGTTCGCCATCGTGATTGAATTCCACGCAGGATATGATGTCCGCATCCGTGACATCATCGTCTAGGGCGCCTTTAATCTGTGAGAAGCACCAGGACGCCTCTCCATTACCTGAAAAGACAGAGCAGGACCAAATGATGAGAATGCGAGTTGACACCTTCGACCAGCTCGAGTTCGATTCACAGAATGACAATTTGGTTAGACAACTGAAAAGGCAAGCGGCGCAGAAGAGCAAATGTAACATTTGCTTTTCTTAAAAACTGACACATGCCCACAATCAATAGCTGGTAGGGGAAAGGACAACGATGACGACGATATCCTGGGCCTGCCCAAATATTTGCTAATGACGCCATTCTCGGCCTTCCACTCTGGTCTTCGTCTGGGCCATGTTGGTACACTTTAAAGCCCTTTAAGCTCTTGGCCAAATATTCTTTTCGTTTTCCTGTCTCGCTGCTTTTAGCCCACAGCCACGCCCCACCCCCTTTGTTTGCCAATTCTCTCTGCATAGCCACTTTTAGCGATTGCGGTTCGTTGTGTAAACGATGACGTTTCTGCTGTCCTTCTTATTCCAAAAACCCCACTTTTTACACTTCTATTCAATAATGAGAGCATTTAAGTTGGGAAATCTATTTCCCTTTTTTTCAACAGTGGGAAAATTATTTTTTCCAAATTATAATTTAATTTTAGATTGCCAATGCAATACTGAGTTTATATGATAATCAATAAAAGCATTTTAAATTAAGAACCTATCTATTAAAAGCATTACCTTTTCAAGGAAATTCATAAATTATTTCCAGCCATCGATTTATCTTCAAATGTGCTTTGCGTTGCAACGTTTAAAAAAGTTTTCCCCCAAGTAATACTTAATAAATTACAAATATTTCCGTACTTTGAAAGTGCCTATATCATAAAAACTGTATTTTAAGTAATATTACAAATGCTATTTGCGCCCACAGTACTCGGTTTCGTTTTGTATCTGCCCATTGCTTTTTGTTTTTGGTCACCCGTCCCCAAGTCTAGTGCTGTGTGCGAATTTTGGCAATTTTTTCATTATTCCCAAATATTCATTGGGCTTTGTTTGTTTGATTTCTTTGGCACAGCCCTTGCCCAGCCCAGTCCCATGTGCTGTGACCTCATTATCCGCTGGCTGTTGGCAGTCTGTTGGCTTTTTCCTGCCCGACGTTGCCTGCTGCCATTGACGACGTCATGATGTGATTGACGAGGCGAAGCAGTTGTATTTATTCCGACTATCCGAGATTCCCTGCACCATAATAGGATCAAAGGCAAACACCCAATTAGTCAGTCATAACTCAGCCGTTTTTGCTGATATTTCTCGGCACTATTTTTAGACAGTACCCGCCCACGCAAATGCAACACACAGCCACTTACAGTTTTTGAGTCGTTGAACTCTGTCGTAAAAGCACAAATGAAAACAAAAGTGTTGAAATAGCAATAAATCAAAAACAAATTATTGCAAAATGTGTTGTTTACTAATTTTTAATATTTCTTTATTTAATTATACCATACAAAATAAATTACAATTGAAATACATACGTTAATATACAAAAATCAACGACTTTGTTTAATTAATGATGAATCTTCATAATGCAACATGATGCTTATGCAACAGCACCAATTAAAATAAAAACCACATAAATCCTAAATAATTGCAGAATTTTCACTACGAAAAGATTCGGTAAAAAAAAGAATGCTATGAAATTGCTCTCGCTCATCTGCTCGCTCACCCATTTATTTGTTAGATCGTATATAAATGTATATAAAGAGATAAGTAGATTTTCATGAGCGGGCGCAAAATGGAACAGAATAATGAAACTCAAATATTGACACAATTATTTAACACAACCACGCGATGTCGCCGCTAGGCTAAAGCTCTAGCTCTCCATCCCCTTTCTACTACACTACACTATCTACAATATCATGGATTCAGTCTATATACGCTATAGAGGGGGACAACTGAACGACCTAGAGAATGGCGGAACGGACTGATTGACTAACAAATACAGAAGGCAAGGTGAAATGGGTGAAGGGACAAGGAAACCACGGGATGGTAAATAGGAAATTCTTTTTTGGCAGCCCAGTTCGTTAACTTTCGTCAAAGGAAAGCGTTAGAGAAATATTTCATATGCATGACTGAACCGCTGAGCAATTAAGAATATTGGTTAGGGAGTATTAATGAGGGAACATATTTTATGAAGGGAATGAAGCAAAAGAAAGTTTCAGGAAATGCTTTCCTGTTTTTCAATTAAGCAAAGAATTATTTTACTCTCTCATATAAATGTTTTTTTTACTTTAGCATTCAATATGCAAATTTTTAAGATTCTTATTTTTGGCTACTTTAGTAGTTTACTTTACTTTATTTTAACAAACAAAACCGGAAAATACGTTCAATAATGCCTCAAAAATAAATGTTTCCATTTAAGTTCTACCGAGAAAACTCAATAGTAAAAGCCCGACCTAATCGATAATTGATTGGTTGTTTAGTTATGATCTCAGCTTGTTTGGCTTCTTGAGCAATTTAAGTTTGCATTGCAAATTGAGCTCAAAAGAGCCTTAACGTTCGTTTCTGTAGCACCATACTGTTCCCCTCGCCAATTACCATATCCAATCTAATCTAAGACACACATCAATCTGCCCCCTCTTTACTAAACCCTTTCAAAATCTCCACTTTTCTTGTGACAAGCAAATGTGCCGGGCAAGAACATCAAAAACTTATGTAATGTCTGTATTGCGACATTGTTTTCGTGAACCTCTACATGTGCAGGCCATTAGGAGATGTCTATGCCCACTTGTGCGTATCTTGCAGATACACTTTTCAAGACAATCACGCAGACACTGCATATAAAATTTTCAAATAATTTTGCATACATCACATAAACCGACAAAAAGAATCTAGAAACCTGGGCGACGTCACGTTGTCTGGGAAGCGACTTCGGAATTGAATATAAAGGAGGGGGTGGAAGGGGTTTCCTTTGGTCCATTGCGACTTTAACTCAATTTGCACATGGCAAAAAACACGATCCAGTTCCGAGGGCTCTATATCTATTGACCGATCCAATTTGTACGCCGCATTCTCAGCACTTGTGCAATTGTTTATTATTTAATTATAGCTATTGTGTCTCTGTACCGAGCATATATACACGAAATCAACTTATACTCTTGCAGAAAGTCTCTCCTCCTTTGGCTTACGATGATTATAAGCAAGAGGATATCATGGACAGTTTCGAAAAATAAATTAGTAAAAATAAATAACCAAAGTCAAACACAATGTTTAATAGTTTTTTTTCGTTAAGTTAGTGTATATGTTATGGTCATTTATGACAATACCTAAAAGAGTTAACCTGTTGCTTCAGAACGTGTATATGTATTCTTAAATTTGGAATACATTTATAATTGCTTTAAAAAAGTCTTTGTCTTTTTTTCTTTTAGTTATCACATAACTCGTAGATTTTTTGAACATTCATTAGCAGCTCTCTGATCTTCAAGCAAGATTTGTGTTTAAATTTACCCTCTTATCAGTTGCTTACTGTTTTCGTAACGAATCGTGCTTTACGTTTATGAGTTGCTTTACTGCCATCTGAGTCTTTCAAATAGATAATGCATTTATAGGGCGTGGGCGAGCATTTGTTTAAAAAAAAATGTACCAGAGGCGGCGGGGGCCTGTTAATTTTTTTTGCATGCCGCTCACGTCGCTCGCGGCTTTTCGTTCAAGTGCAAAAGATCAATGCTAGTTGATAGGGAAAAGTTGTTTTCCGATTAACGCATTCGAGACTTTTGACTAGTTTGTTTACTTCTCAGTGAATTTGTTTATCGGCTGTTTGGGCGAATTTAATGCCAACATCAAAATTAAGAAAAGTGCAAAAATAGAACGGGGAAATGGTAAATACCCTTGCAGTTATTACAAATTTGGCCTTGTGAGTTAAGTCATCTACAGCTCTGAAGACTATTAAAAAAAATGTTGAACGATAATATATTTTTCCATGTTTTTTCGATTGCTGTGAATAACATTTCAGTTACAAATACGATCCTCTCTAAATCATATTAAAAACAATACTAACAAAAAAAAGGTTGATCCTCGAGGCCAGCAACAATTATACAGAGCAAAAATATATATTTATATTAAAATTTGTTGACCGCAAAGATCTTAACCAAGGCGTTAGAAAAGTCTGACCAAACTGATAACATGCAATTCCAGGGTATAAAAATAAAGTTGGCAGTTCCCACACAAAAAGCGAGTGGCGAACGAACGCAGAGAAGCGCAAAAGGAGAAAAGAAGGAGAGCAGAAAGAAGGGGAAGACGAGAGAATTAAACTTACCGGCCATGACAGTTGAACAGTTTGCGTCGATTTTCAAGCAGCCGCAGCAACAACAACAACAACAACTACACTAAGACAACAAAAATAACAAGAACAAAAGGAGAAGGCCAAAGGAGCTGCGCTCGCGCTCTCTAGCTCCGTCTCTTTCTCACGAGCGTGGTGTTGTTGTTGCTACCAATTTTAAGTTTTAAAGTTGAGCGCGATGTTAATTTCCTCTCTTTTTCACTTATTCCTTTAATTACACTTTGGTTTTTTGTTGTTGTATATCTAATATATGCATTTGATTCCTTTGTTAATTTTTTTTTTAGCACGACTTAAGCACGTATAGGGGAAGAAAGAACTGCAAAGGTAGGGGAAATTATATTTTTTTTGCAACGACGTCGGCAGCGCAGCGTCAGAATTTTGGCGTGCGTTTTAAGTGCATGTGTGAGTGTGTGCGAGCGAAAGAGAGGTCGAGTGCAGCCGGTGGTTGTAAGCGAACACAAAAAATTACTTCACACCGATAAAACGCGATATTTGCCAGTCGTTAATCCACAATTATTATTTTTATTGCATTTTGCCAAACAAATACGAAACACACACACATCGGCATACACACGTTTGCGCCGCTTGCTTTGTCTCTTTGTTTTATCGCGATTTGAGAGCAAAAAATATATGCGAAATCTAACCTTCAAAATGGGAACACTAAATAGTTTCGATGCCTGATTATTTTACGCTTCCGAAAAACCGCGTGATCAGAAAAGGATAAATATCGTCGAACGACTCCAACTTTAAACTCCTTTTTCTATTTAATATTCGCAAGCGAAAATCAAATATTGCCAAAAAGTCAAAAAACTTCTGTTTTCTGATTCTGTTTCCGATTCACATTCTGCGCGCTGCCTCTTCTTCCCGTTTTTGCCGCCTCTTTAGCTGCACTGCTTCGTGGTTGCGTCGTAATATGAATGCGAGTGAGTGTGGCTTTTGCACAAGCGGCATTCCGCCTTGTTTTTCGCTTTCCCACGCACTTTTGGACTATTTACACGGCTGCCGACTGATTCCCGCACGCTCCGGGCGCTGTTTTAGCTTAGTTAGTGACTAACGGATTGCGAAAAATCCAACGCAAAATGGTAGTACAAATTTTGTTGCAAATTTCGCACTTTACAATAAGAGTTAGAGGTGGTCGATGCCAATACCGATGTCATCGATGTTTTGAAAACATCGGTTTCATCGATGCTTGGCGGGGCAACATCGATGTTTTTCCATCTCTACTCTGCTTTCCCTCTGCCGCAGCGCTGCCTATAGGAAAACGATAATCCAGCTGCGGCGGTGTAGTGTTGGACAGCGGGCGGGGATAACATAGATCTGTTGGCGCAACTGTTAAAGTTAACGTGGATTGGGCGGGAAATTCAAAAAGTAATAAAATTCTATGGAAAACTTAAATTACCTGAAACTACCTTTGTATTTATTTTGTATTATTGTATATTTGTATTTATGAAATGAACATATATTTTAATTCCCTGACCTTTATAAAATAAAGGTAAATGCTCGAAAGTCAATAAAGTATTGTCATTTAAAATTTGTATATGCCACCTATTATCTGTCCCTGGTTTATTTTGTACCATGACGTAGTATTTGTATTTATGAAGTCATTAAATCAGTAGTTCTCAAGTCATGGGACATTATTAAAGAAGATGTTGCCCCATTATATTTATAAATATAATTTGATTTACCATCTGACCATGACCTATTTAAATTGTTGTGTGAGTTCCGTATGGGGGAAAATTCTTCAAATTTGAGTGAAAATAAACGGCTTATACTTACTTGCTGGCTTTTTGGCTCCGTTCATGTTGATGGCCGTGTTGAGCATGTTCCCGATCTTGGTGATGCTCGACTGCCGCATGAAGGTGCGCGGCGGGAGTGTGGGCGGTGGGGGCGTGGTCGCCAACTGCGGGTCCGGCGGCTCCAGCACCGGACTCTGCCGGCCCCAGCGACCCATCACGGATTGGATGGGGAGGATTTAGTGGTTGGGCTGGGCCTGGTAGACGGACCTGATCCGGCGATCTGCAAGCAAATTGATCGGTCGAATCTATTAGCGACTCGGCTGCACACACTGGTTGTATAATGCATGTTTGCATGAGTGTCCGACTTCATCGCATGAGCGGGCTGCGTGTTTTTGAATTTGTCGGGCAATTAACACCTGTCGCACACCCCTCTCTGCATCTCACCTTTTGCCAAACAAATGGGTTGTGCAAATGAATCGTCTCCTGTCGTTTGTTTACTGTAGAAATTACGCCTGTGTGCAAAACAGAACAAAACATCTGCTTTTGGGTTGAATTAAATTCCGCCGCCTGCGTGTTTAATAAATTTAAAGTTTTTTTTTTTTTTGCCTGCCAAGAGGTGTGTCCGTCGTTTTTGGCCTCGTCTTGATCTGTAGCGCCTTTTTTATTGGTGTCTATTTAATTTGTTTCCCTCCGTCAGTGGTCGAAATAATATTCTGAGAGTTCGTATTTTTTGAGGCTGATTAATAGCCAAATGCAAAGAGGCTGGCTGGCTGTTCCAATTAACAATTATACAAAAAGGCAATTCCGCTAATCTCCAGCTCAAATATTTGATTTTGAACTCTGAAGGCAGCGCGAAAACGTCAGAGTGGAAAATTTCAGCAGTACACAAAAACATTGTAAAAGACAAAAACATATTTAATGTGGGTTTTCGTGGACATGTGTACTTTTAAATCGTTGTGGTCACATTAATAGTTGTGCCTCTTTTTGCGATATACAAAGAACATTGATAACGAAATTTCAAGCATTCCCAAAAATATTTACAAAAGAGAAACTCAAACAAACAGTTGAAAAATCATAAAGTTTATTGAATAAACAGAAATAAAAAAGTAAGGCCACAGGGATTTAAAAGAAACTGCTTATTGCTTGCGAACTATTTATTTAGAAAATGTTGGTTTACCCATTTGTATATAAATTTCGTTTGCTAATTTATCGTTAATTTTAAATATAAAATAATTGTTATGTTAAACAATTTGACAAACCTCTTGCTTTATTAAGAAATAGCTTCAAGATAAGTTATATCGATTTTTTGTAATTGTGGTAAGATTTACGCCCATTTTCTATTACTTAGCTAACTTACTTGATAATGAAATATTCTGTTTGCCTCATAAAATGTTCTGTTTTGCACAGTTTTCAAGTTTTTAAAAGTTTTATTAATTTGAAAACAATAATGATCCTTTGTTTCTTTGGCGAACTAGCCTATACAAGATAAACACATGTTAATAGACTTTGTTTTGAATATATTCCGATTGCCAAAACCATCACTCATATAATTTTGGCCTCGTCTGTTTATACATACATATGTCATGTGTACGATTTATTTCACACATTTTCGCAATACGGATATACAGTTACAATGTGAAGGCGAAATTCCGCCACGTTCATTAAAGGAGGGATATATATGTAGATATACTAAATGTGCGGTGTGGCATATGCAAAATCGGGTGTACGCAACAAGTTGAAGAGCCGCAACATATGCATGACTAATGGCCAAGAAAAAAGAAGCAGAAGACAACGTGCGGAACAACAAATCAAAAGAAAACCGCATAGGGAAAATGCGGAGAATTGTAATCCAATTAATGGGCTGCGTCTTCAATGTCTCGCGTATCCGTAGAAACGTGAGTGCGACAGCCAATCGCGTATTAAAAATCTTTCCATTTCTTCGGTCTGGGAAATACAGTGAGTATCAGGTAAAACAAAACTTCATTTTGTATCTTCCACATATCTGCTATCATATATTCATTTATTCGAAAAAAGACCCCTACTAAAAGTTTAAACTAATTTCGAAAGCTATTGTTAAAATATTAAGTATACGCCAATTTATTTTTTTTATTTGAAACCTATTTGTAGATATTTTTTGAAAGTAAAAAAAAACTTTATAATGTTAATCATTTTATTTAATGGCCAGTTTAGGAAAGTGAAATAATTTATTTAAGCATATTCGTACTGTCATCTCATAGGTGTCACTGAAGGATAAAAACAAACTAACAGAACACTAGAGATACGAAAATAAACAAATGAAATGAATGGTCTATTAAAAGTATGTGGCATGTGAATGGGTGCAAGCGCCAGCTTTTCCTTTCCCCCGAATCGCCACCGAAACAGAAACAGCAACAGCAACAAAATCAAAACAATAACAAACAAATAGCGCGTTTTTCAAGAAAATAATCACGCCAAGATTTAGTTGTTCATTCTGTTGTTCGGGAAATGACAAAGACAGGCAGCGGAAGCGGGAAAAGGAATTCAAAAATGAATTTAGACAAATAAACGAATTTTTTAAATGTGTATAATTTTATAAGTTAGCATGGCTCATGGCAAAAGAAGGTGAAATGTTTTCAATGGGGCGTGATCCTGAGTATTAATACAAACAAAAAATGTACCACAATAAATATAAGATTTTAATTATAGAGTATTCCTAGCAGCAGTATTATAATAACCAACTGGGCAAGAGTTTCTTTTAATTTCGTTTGGATAAATCATAGATGAACAGAGCCTAAAAATAAGTGTGGCAACAGTTTTAGAGTCACCTGAACACGTGCCACACGAGACGCACTCGAACCCCATTCTCAGCACACTCATCATCCAAAGTCCAACCAGGTAGACACGGAATACGCCTGCCAAATCTTTGGCTTTGATTATTTTTGGATCTGTCAACCCTTCTCGTCTGGTTTGCCTAATTTACCTTTAATGTGTGGGGGTGAATTGTTTATATTTAGCATTTCATACGCTTCCACACTGCCAAACTGTCTATAATGTGCCCATCAAAGTGTCTGTTTAGTTTGACATTCATTGGCGGCACGCAGGATTTTTGTAAGTTTTTTTTTTGTGGGGGCAGGGTGGATTGATAAACAATCCGACTGGTGGACTTGATTGCTACCATATGTCCGGCTAGATCTATGACAAGTAATATTGTGCTTATCAAACTGTTTCGGCTCATCCAATTAATATACTTCACGGCCCCTCAGCCTCCTCACTCCACTCGTGGCTGCCAGATATAATGAAACTAATTAGCATTTGACAAACACCATTCTCATATTCCTTTATACAGTGGGCGTTCAACAAAAAAAAAAAAAAACTCCTATAAAAAAGAATTTTAAGTAGTATATGAGTGATAGCTTTTTCAACAGTCTTTAAATTATCCAATAAAATGTTGTTGCATTTTGGGTCTTAAGTATTTTACAATGACATCAATGTTAAACATTATAGTTCCTATTATTAAAATTTAAAAAAAAAGATTCGAAAATTGCAGCAAAATTTCTTTGTTTCTTTTCAAAGGTATTAAAAAAAAACAAAAAAAATAATACAAATGTATACAGGTAAAGAGCATTCTAATGTTTATGATTTCCGGAGCTAACATATACACACAGAAATCTAAACTTATTTTATAGCAAACCGAATTGCCATTTTTGAAAAATGAACAAAAATGATTTTTTCAATAATGTTTATTCACAACAAGTAAGCAATATTTGGTTGTACCTGTCAAATTATGCTTTTTAGGCCTCCAAATATTGAGGCTCCACTGTACCAATAAAAATAATCAAAGAAAAAATAGGACCAAATAGGATGTGACGGACTGCAGTTGGGAAAACAAATTATAAGCCCACAAATAATGATACAGTCACATGGAATCGGAATCAAGATAAATGCGCGTGCTATGTGGTTTTTTTTTTTTCGTTTTTCAGCAATTTGTTCGATTTGCTAATGCGAACAGCTTAGGCAAATATTTTGGCATAAAAGTCAGCGAGTGACAAAATAGTAGCTATTAATTGTCTGTAAGTCGGCTTGCTAAACATGGCCAGTGCGAGTCAATAGTTGTTTATTGTTTGGCTCAGAGCGAAACAAAGCGGCCTGAAAATGTTGTTAACCTCAAAAACCGCCAAGAACGTCAACAAGTGAGACTTGGAACCCCCCAAAGGGGGTCAGATCGGGGGGTTAGGCTAGAGAAACTGGAGAATCGGATGGCAGACAGTCGTCGAAACCCCCGCAAACGGTTGACGTAACAGGCCAGCTAAACTCTTAACGATTTCAGCATTTCGGCGATATTGAAACAGCTGTCTTGCCATATCCGAAGCATTTGAATGGAAACCACACGCGGGTGCATATTAATAAA